GGATGTCTTAGATTCTTTTGATCCCAGGGTGGCTGGTCAGAAGGTAAGTGTGAGCCCACTACAGAATCTGTGAGCAACCAGAATCCGGGACAAAAAGATTTCTCTGAGACCCACCAGTGGGTGGCCCCTTGTGTTTTCTTGACAAATGACTCAGTCTTCATTTCCATGGAGGCCATGCAACAAGGTGGTGGAAAAAGGATGGGCTTGAGGTCCCTCTGGCTTTTTTGATGGAAACTGGTGGGGCAGGGCGTCAATCTTGGTGTTTTTTTGAACCGGGGATGTCAGATAAGATTAAATGAAAACGTCCGAAGAAGAGAGCCTATCCGGCTCGTCTTGGGTTTAGTCTTTTGACAGTTTTTAGGTACTCAAGGTTCTTGTGGTCTGTCTACACCACAAATGGTTGTTCTGGTACCCCCAGTAGTTGGCGCCATTCTTCTAAGGACATTTTCACTACCAAGACCAAATGATACCTGCAGCCAGAGATTCTGAGACGTACTTCTCTATAGCCTTTCTCTCCTTTAATGAAATTTTGTAGAATCTTCCTATAGGGAGAATGAAACCTTGCGGGAGATGGATGTCACAATCATACGGCCAGTGGGGTGGATAAGGCCATGGCACGATCCTGACAGAAAGCTTGCCCAAAGCCATGATATCGCTTCAGAACGGAGGTGAGGTCTGGTTCGTCTGGTTCCATGACATCAGACTGCAAAAAGTTCTTGTGACAAAAAAACAGTCCATGCAGTACGCTGAGGAGTGGTCCAATCAATAGCAGTGTTATGTAGTTTTATCCGGGGCAACCCAAGTACCAAGGGTGATTGAGGGCAGTCAAAAATGAATACATTGATTTCCTCACAGCAGTTACCTCGGAGTTGGAGAATTATTCAAATCTGACGGAGTTGTTCACTACACTCTTCTCAGTTGTGTGTGAAATTTAGAAAACATTTAATTTCGCTTTACAGGGATTTAATGAAATACCCAAGAAACTTCTTTAATAGATTAACCAACTGTTACAGTATATTTAAGTGAAAACGAGCATACATGAATTTATGCTCGTAAACTGACAAAAAGACAAAGTCAAAGTCAACAGAAACGTGACCACAGGCATTATGAAAAAATTTCATTCATGTGTTCGATAACCCGCCGAGGGATGGAAAAGCTGTGTGCTCACAACAAAATAGCTCCTCACATAGTTCATAACAACGAAACTGGAAAATAGGAAAATGCTTCAATAAGAAACACAGACAATGGAAATCGTATGTAATGTGAACAACTCATCGCAACTGTACTGGCGTTTTCTCCCTCGCTTTTACTTTTTAAATGATCTAATGCAGGTGTGGCAAACTAATTTTTGTTGCGGGCCACATTGACGTCACAGTTTCCGTTGGAGGGCCATTATGACTGTGAAACCGTAGAAATGTTGAATCACTTCCTCGTATTATTCCATATACTGTAAAGTACACAATTATTAGATTTTGAAATCAAAGGTCAAGGAGAGTAGTTTGTTCCCCTGTTGTTCAAGTTTCTGAAATAATGCTTGTAATAGCGAACAATGCCTATTTATTGCATATGGCAACTTGAAATTTTGGTACAGATTTAACAAGCGTCATGGAAGTTTACCTGGTTGATTTGCTTTCGCGGGCCACATAAAATGATGCGGCGGGCCAGATCTGGCCCCCGGGCCTTGAGTTTGATACGAGTGTTCTAATGTCTTATGATGTCCCTTTTCACTGTGTATATAAACTGTATGTACATATACTTTGTCTGGTATGAATATATTTCCAAGATTCTTGATTCAAAAATTGTTGAGGTATGATAGAACCTTTGAATTCAAACTATCCATCCATTTTCAACACCACCTGAACAGGGTCACAGAGGGTGATGGAGCCTATTCCAGCTTACGGGTGAACGGCGAACTACACCCTGAACTGTTCGCCAGTCAGTTACAGAGCATATATAGAGATGAACAACCATTCAATCTCACATCCACATCGTCACTTGCTGGGAACTGATCCCACACTGCCTGCACACAAGTCAGGTGAGTGTACCACTGCATCATCAGAGACTCACAATTCAAAACTATATTTTTGACATACAGTTAAAATCGCATAAGGTTCAACCCTGAATTTAGGAGGGCGTGCTACCATTTTAGAGACATAAACTCAGACACATGTACGCACAAATATTGCACACACAAGAAAAGCTTTAAGTCTTGGAGATATGTGTCACCTATTTCAAAAATTGAGATATTTGTCCCTTGAGCCAGGAATATGGGTCTTCCAACCTTTGGGAAATGCCACGAGTGTTTTTTTAAAGGAATTTTGCCTAATTCTTGAATAGAAAAATCAAGCTTTAAGTGGAAGAAGACTTGCAATGATACAGTTTAAACGCAGGATTCCCTTAACACCTAAAAGAAAAATAACAGAATGAGTTTTGGCCCTCCAGCAATTTTTCTGCAGCCTTTCATTCGACATTATACCTCTGCTTTACACAATCCCTGTTATGTACAATTTCTACAATGTAGATGACCTAATACAACTTCTTTTTTGACAACCAGCATATTGTAGTCCAGATATTGTGGATTTCAGGTCCTTCGAAGGCTTTGATTCTTTATTTTTAAAGACTGGCTGACTTGTTGAACTTGCAATTACAAGTCAGTGGTGAAAGTGAATAGTTATTATCTCCAGTATTTGTAAATGTGAAAATGTCTCAGGGGGTTGGAATGATCACTCAACCAGACTTTTTGCTATCGAATGGCCATCTGTTCAGTGGTCACTGGTCAATATTTTGTATTTTGGATTGCTTTTTTAAAGGAAACACATGTCACCACGGATACATCAAGGTGCTGAACTCAAAGTGCTTTATGCTGGAGTGCCAGTCACTCATTCTCACACATTGTCATCAGTGTGTGTGTTACCATGGGGCCATGCTTTTTCTAACACAGGGAGCACCTGGCATTGTTCCCAGGGCATTTCCCGGTCTAGTACCAAATAGGCCAAGCCAAAATAAGGTTTTTGCAATTCTTGAGCCTGAAACCACCAACTGACATTAATGGGATATGAATGTATCTGATTGTACAATGATTTCAACTGTGAAATGAGAGCATGAAGTGGAAACTTATGTGTAATTATGACTTAATTTATTTCAATTAAACAGACATGACCAGACTAATTTTTCAATCTGGAATGGGATGGATCTTTATTGTCATGGCACATGAACAGAAGTACAGAGCAGAAGCAGAAGTACACTCACCACTATGGCCACTTCAAGGCTAGCACCTTCAGTTCAATTGGGCCATCACTGGGAGGAGAAGACGGTGAAGTCGGGTCGTTATTGTTTGTGTGTGTGTGTGTGTCCCACCTGGTATGCATAACGTCTCATTGCCATGCAGAACTCAGAGAGGTAAGGTGAGGCGAGGCCATTTAAAGATTTGAAAATAAATAAAAGGATCTTAAAAAGGAGCCAGTGAAGGGGTGCAAAAGTCGGAATTAAGTGCTCCCTCCAGCTTCACCAGCTGACTGCTGCATTAGACGCAGTGCCGTCAGCGCTTCTGTGAAGGGAGCACGTGAGAGGTCAGCCGGCATGTC